CCCCCCCCCCCCCCCCCGCACCAGCCCATTGAAAATTCATTAGCGTGACTTGAAAAATGGGCCCTGTGTGCAAACAACGTCACTAAAGGCTGGTTTAAATAGACAATCCTGAGCCTTTCTTTCCTGCTGGGCTCTGTCAGAGATTGCCAAAGCACAGGAGGAGCTGGGGGACGGGAGGATTGACAGATGGAGATGGCCATATGTGCTGATCTGTTTTCCCCAGCAGTATACTCCTTTTTCAGATGGGGAAACTGAGCCCCAGGGGAGGAAAAGGATTGGTCCCAAAGGATATAACACAGAAGTCTTTCTAATCCTCTAAGCATCTCTGCCCGATACCCAGGAAAACTGCCAGTAGAAATACCTGCCCAACCGTTTCACACATGACAGACCAGAAATGGCACTGAGAGGTCAAATACCTTCTAGAGGGAGGGCCAGGCCCCACAAGGTGTGGCCCTGGCCCCTCCGGTAGTACTTGGAGCACTTGGTCGCTGCTGGCCACCCTAAGTTCAGAGCGCTGTGGGTCATCCCTCCACATCTCCCCCAGTGTCTGCTACCCCTCCTCCCTAGGCAGATGCAGGGCCCTTCACCTGGAAATGGAAGATGCCAGCATATCCATTCTGGAAGCTCTGGCCATGTGGAACCACTCGGTGCAGGAGGGTGTCGTTGAGGGTGAGGGAGGCGATGGCAGCCAGGAGCCAACAGTCTCCTGGGATGGGAAGGACCTGTGTTAGGTCAGCTGTACCCATCTGCCCCAGGGGTAAACGTGGTGCCTATGCTGGGGAGAATCTGGGGTTCTCTATGTGGGGTGCCCCTTGACTCCCCTCAGCTAACAGAAAAGACCCAGGAAACTGGGCAAACCAGCTCCAGAGCTGATGATAGCCAGAGCCTGTTTAGGCTTGCAGGAGGGAGGAGTTGGGGCAGAGCCCAAAGGAACGGGAATGGGGAACTACTGTGGAAAAAACACCCGGAACCCCACCCCCTAGGGGGCCTACCCAGTGCTCCCTGGCAGATGTCTGTGCGGGTGGCTCCATCCACGATGAACTGGGGGTTTGACAGCAGCTCCTACAAGAGACCAAGAGTCCTGTCTCCGGGCAGGCGCCTCCCAGAACCTGGCACCCCACCACCCCAGAGGCCACTGTCCACCCAGGATCAGGGGTCATCTGAGTCCCATCCAGGGTGGCCCCTCTCACCATGGGACGTTTCCACTTGATGCCATAGGTCTTGGAGGAATTGGGACCCAGTTCCTTGTAGCCCAGGCTCTGGGGCACTGGGGGGAAGGCCTCATCGCGGAAGAGGGCCCCACTCTGCAGGCACTGCATCCGCAGCTGCTCATAATCCTGGCCCTGGTACTTGATGGCATTCTCATGGCGGCCTAGGCCTAGGTCCTTGGCCCGCTGCTTCTGCACTTGGGCAGACACCCCAGTGCAGTACACCGGTGTGATGATCTCCTCAGCCATCCTGCAGGACAGAGGGCCTGCTCAGAATCCAGGCCTTCCCAGGACTAGAACAGGGGCTCCTACCTGCTAGCACCGCTCTCCTGCCCCAGCCCACCCTTCCTCCCCAAACGCGGAGTCTCCCTGCCTCGCTGTTCCCCTCACAGAACTCAGGGCTCTTGGACACCTCCCTGTCCTCCCAGAATCCAGGAAAGGGGCTCCCCAGTTCCTGGGTGTGCTGGTCATCACCTCCCTACCCCCACACAATGCTGCCACCTCTCTTTTCCCCACTTCCATTGTCCTGGGCCTGCAGCTCTGAGGTCAGCCAGCCGGCCAGGTGTGGCAGGGCGGAGCCTCGCAATAACACAGGGAACTGGGAAGGTGAGAGACCCCAGGGAAGGCCTCTTTGACTCTGTTTGCCTGCCTGGAACCCCCTCCCCAAACTAGCCAAGCTCCTGGTGCACTGTCCCCTCTTCCTGGAGCCCCAAACTCCAGGCGGTCGGGGTGCCCAGGACCCTGAGACAGGCTGGGAGATCAGAGCTGCTGGGCCCCAGCCCAGCCCCTGGGGACAGTGGTGAACACCGGCTGGGGCAGGCGCCTGGGCTGTGCCGTTTCCCGAGCCCCTGCCCCTGTCCCAGGCACACAGAGGGCCCGAGGAGGGGCCAAGCTGAGGCAGTCCCTCAGCCCGGGAGCAGCGTCCGGGGTCAGGGAATCCCGGCCGGGTCACCCAGCTCCTTACCTGGGGGAGGGGTGCTTGGGGGGGTCGCTGCGGTCCCTGCGGCTTGTTTCCCCGGCGGCAGCTCAGGGCAGGGCCCAACCAGGAAGAGCGCTCCTCCCCGCCCTCCTCCCGCCCCCTC